CCGCCTCTGACCTACAGATGTTGCCGTCTCCCTTAAGAACTGGATCTCTGAAGGCGGGGCGTCTCCTCTCACATGCTCACAGGCACACTCGGGGCCTAGTACCCCAGGCACACTCGGGGGGCCTGGTACACCCAGGGTATGGTTCATGACTCCACCTGGGGCTTGAACCCAGGACCTTCTGCGTGTAAAGCAGATGTGCTAACCACTACACTATGGAAACACCACCCAGAAATAAAATTTTTAAAGTGGAGTTCTAAGAGTCACTAACTCTAGATTACATGTCATACCATACAAAGTTAATGATATCTACTTCGGGTGATTTTCATCTCTGGCCTCTCTTAGGGCATGCGTTTATTGGCCATGGAATTTATTAGGGCATGGAATTTGTTGGCCATAACTACTTGGTCTCACTTGGCATGCCTTTTTTTATAATTTAAAAGATATATGACTTTATCCTCCTATTTCACTTGCAGATCAAGTTCTTGACAAAATCTCATTCTGATTCTGTACTTACTTTCATGGGTTTTGTTCTCCCTCAGGTATGTTGAATCTAAAAAGGACAGAGTCACAGTAGTCTTCAGCACAGTGTTTAAGGATGACGACGATGTGGTTATTGGAAAGGTGTTCATGCAGGTATGGAGCAGACGTCTTGGGGGATAACCATGGTGTGGTGATTTATACCTTGGCACCAAACCCCAACATAAGCATGCAGAAGAGAGCTGGCAGTTCTGTTGATGCTGGAACTTATTGAAGATTTAATGAAATAGCCCCCACCAAACTCACTGAATGTTTTCTTAGTGATTTTAGCCTTTTGCAGGACTGGACTAGAGGGTTAAGTATTGAACGTACTAACAATATGACTAAATATTAAGCATCCTTCCCGCCATGGGGGTCTTTGATTCAAAGGTTGGTCACGTTTCCTGCCCTCTTGTGTTCCTCAGATTTCTAGCAAGGTCTGTTCTTGGTTTAGTCCTAAGGTCCTTTCAGAATGGAGTTCGTGGAAAATTCTGAAGTAGTAGATAATGCATTAATAGGGTAGAGTTATTGAACTGATAGTGAAGAGAATTGGCCTGGGTTTGACCAGTGTCACCATAGAGTGTCTCCCTCAGGAGAAGCTTGTTTACTAAGAAGAGTGGTGGGGTGTAGCAGGACATTTTGTCATTGGATTTCTGGTGCAGTTGGACTCAAGTCTGATACAGTACACCCACTGTGGCTTTGTCATGCTATCTGCTAACCAGTTCCTGGCTCCAGGACATGAGAGCTCATTGGTAATGTGGTATCCAGGCTGGTTTCTTCTGAGATGGCTCAGCATTCAAAATCTAGTACAGTGGTCAAATTTTCAAAACAACTTTTGTACATTCATTCTGTTCCTTGGCAGGGTGATGAGATTTAAGAATTCTGAGACAGAATCTTTTTTGCCAAGCAGTTGAAAGATAGTTGCGCTTAATATAGTGAGGATACTTTACATGTGTGTAGCCTTTCTAAGTGGCTAGGGAAATCTTCAGAAATAATCCTCAATTTGATCCATCTCTCATAGCCTTTTGTATTTAGGCTAATTAATCAGAAACTATAATTTTGGAGTCTCTGCAGAAAAATTGGGATATTGACACTTCAGCATTTGAGGTTGCTAAATTTTATGAAAGCGTGTGTGTGTGTGTGTGCGCACGCATATAGATATATATATATATATCTTGAGTCCTAACTGTAAGCCTCTGCACAGGCATTTCATGTGTTTTTATGCAAAATTGACAGGAATTAAATGCGGTAGCTCAGAAATTGGGGTAAATCCAGACTGACGAACTAATTTTAAAAGCTATGAAGTATATATTTAGATTTGGCTGGGTTTTTTTACCAGTCTTTTTCCATTTTGTTTCACATGACATCTTAGCTTATTTTTATACTTTAAACAGATCTGATCTTGGAGAGTGTACTGGAGATTTGTTCCCTAGGAGAATTTTGTATATTTTTTTTTTGCATATGAATGTAAACTCCTCCCTCAAAGTACATGTGGTAGCAGACTTGTCTGAAAGAGAAAACTGTGTCTACATTTTTGCCCTGACAGTATCTCCAGTTAGTCACTGGCCTGGCACCATTCAGGCACATATGGTGTCTGGGAATGTGAAAAGGCTGTGCTCAGGAAGCCATCTGCCCTGCCTCACTCTCCAAAGTCAAAGCTGGGGCAATTTATTTGAAGTGACCATAGAAACCTGGACTTAAGTTTGCTGGGTTTTTTCCCCAGAACAAATCATCTGAGCATTTTCCTGGGCCTAGTTATTGTAACCTTTTAGGAGAAAGAACAGTGGGTGCCTAGCACAGAGTGTTGTGACCTAGGATGCTGTTTGAAGATCTCATGGTCACTAGTCTGCTTGCCATGGGCCTTTGTGGGTTTTCCCATGCCTGCATACACTTCTAGCCCAGTCAGAACATATCTGCTTTTGTCATTTGACAGACAAACTCTGAGGGATGCTTACTGCCTTTAGAAAAAGACAGGGAGTTCCCATTCCCTACTCACACAGACGGCCTAGTGCTTGGCTTTGGGGCATTATCTTTGTAGGCATATGAGCCAAGCACCAGAGAAAGTCTGGTAGATGTCATCATTTCAGTGCCATTCCGTGAGAAGCATTAAGAACAACATTTTCAGAAATTAGAGTGCAGTCTACGACCATGCTACCCTGAACAAGCCTGATCCCCGTCTGATCTCGGAAGCTGAACAGGGTCAGGCCTGGTTAGTACTTGGATGGGAGACCACCTAGGAAGACCAGGTGCTGTAGGCATAAAAAATAAATAAGAGATTGTGAGCTGACAAGGTCCTTGCAATCTGTGAGGTCAACCAAGGGTTGCCTCAACTTAAAAAAAAAAAAAAGGAAATTAGAGTGCAGTAAACCAGAATTTTTTCATATTATTAAATATTAAAGTCATGTTCGTAACTAAGAAAAGTTAAGTGGAAACCGCGATTTCTGTATGTTCAGGGGCCAGACAGCAGTCTGCCTCATAGGCAGTTGGGATGATGTTATTTTGAGGACCCTTGCTACCTGTATACATGTGTGGTTATAGCTATAAGATATTTTCCTGAACTGGGAACAGAATCAGAATCAGTAATTTTGTTAGATATTGTTAAACCTCACCTCCATAGAGGTTGTACCATTTTTCCCTCCCACGCAGAATGTATGAGAATGCCCATTTCACCAGAGTGTGTTTTCAAACTTTTGGATTTCTGCTAATCTGATAAGTTAGAAATGGTATCTATATTCTCTTATGAGCAAGGTTAAAACAAGATTAAAACATATTTTCTTATGTTGCAGGCTATTTTTCTTTTCCTGTGAGATGTCTCTTTATGTCTTTAACCCATTTTTCTGTTGGGTTATTGATCTTCCCATTTTCTTTATATGCTAGAGAGATAAGCCTGTGATAAGAGTTGCACATTTTTCTTCACTTTGTCATTAGACTTTGTGGGGGTTTTTTTCCCCTCAAGGCAGAAGTTTATTTTCACATAGTTGAATTGATCTGTCTTCTCTTTTATGGCTTCTGGACTTTGAGTCATAGTTAGAAATTCCTTTCCTACTTCAAGTTTACAAAGAAATTTACCTGTATTATTTTCCTAGAATTTTTACACCTTCATTTTACACATAAATACACTATCGGTTTGGAGTATGTGGCATGAAGGATGGACCCATTCATTCATCCCTGACTACCCACTGGTCCCGGTAGCAGTTATTTAAAAGACCATGTTCATACCACTGATTTAAGATGCTACCTGCATGATATACTAAATTCCTGTAAATATTTGGATTTACTCTGAACTAATAGAATAAATTATGTTTTGATGGAAGAGAGAAATAGTATCATGATACTCAAGACATCGTAGGCAGAGGGGGGAAAAAAGGCATTATTGCTGATACATATGCAACAAAGACTGTAAGGAAGCTATTTGTATTGGTTGATTGGTTGGGTAGTTGGATTTTAAGTGTTATTTAAGAGAGAGAAACAAAGACATGAGCTTAGCTAAAGGATAGTCCCAAATTAGAAGTACTGTATATTGTTAACCAAGTTTTAAATGTATTATTTTTCATATACAGAACTGATAAAATGGTATTAAGTCACCACAGGTTTACATATAACCCATCTGGTTATGAATGCCACATGCGTAATTGAATTGGAGCCTTTGAGAAACTTACTAAATACCAGAGAATGCTGGCAGACTGTTATCTGTTCTCTTTTCTTCCCTGGGACTGAAGAGTAAAATCAATTCATAGAAAACCTCCCAACCCCTTTGAATGAAAGGTGTATTCTAGAAATGGGCAATTTCACAGGCTTTTCTTCATAAATTTTCATTTTCAAATGATATCAATTCCTTCCCTGCCTCTCCAAATATTTTTCCTTTGGAGAACAAAATTCAAAAGGGAGCTAACCTAACCCAGTTATGTTAATTTATTATTCACCTTTAGAAGTCAGCTCAGGAGTGAGGGCAGTGGAATAGGCAAGATCCCAGACTGAGCCTTAGAACTTCTCAGATGGTATCCTTCCTTTGCCACTAATTAGTTGAGGGCTTGCTGACATTCTTCCTACCTGCAAATGGAAACAGTTTCTACTTGTTCCTTTACAGTGTGATGACACTAAGTCAGCCAGAAGTGCTTTCTTTCATTCAGCAAGCCATGTGCTTGACAGCCTCTTTGAAGGACAGAGGAATAGATAGACAAAGCAGAATCCTTGGCTTGAGGAACTCACAAGCTGGTAGGGAAGCCAGCTGCATTAATGAATAGTGCTGTATCATAGTAAAGGTTTGTGGAAAAGCAATGAGAATGCCACCGAGCGAGCAGGCAGCCGGGGGTGGCGTTCTAAAAGAGGTCAGATTGGAGCGGCAGTAGAAGAGCACTGCAGGCCCAGCGGCTATTTAAATGTACTTTTCGTGCTCATAAAACTCAGGCCACGGAAAGCCCTTGGTTTTATCCCTCAGCCATCACTCGGTGTATTTAGACCATCCAGTTTTACTGGCATCACTGGAAAATCTAGTTTTGTTCTTGCAGATCTGGGTAGAGACAGGGTTGCTTTGTATCACTTATCTGTTTGCACAGAATGTGCAGCTTGGAAAAGCTTGAGGTTTAGAGATTCAAACAGAGAAGGAATGGCTGATTTTCACAGCCTCAGTCACTTTGCTGTAGTTTGATGAGTACATTTTGTTAAGGGTGATGAGTCCTTATGCTGCGTGGTAGCTATGTAGTCCAGGGCCATTCAAGAGCCAGAATACAAAAATCAGCCTTTCATTTCTCATGTCAATGGTGCCCTTTTCTTAGTGAATACTAACACAGCTCAGTTTCTTTAACTGTTGTCTTCTGCCCCTAAGAAGGGCTTACATTTTGGTGTAAAATTCTGATTGATGAATTCTAAACAGTAATAAGATCTAAGATATTTCAGTGAAACGAGACGTGTGCAAACTCCCAGAACCCAGAGAAAGCACGATATTGATGAAACTGGGAGAAGTGGAGATGATGAGAGTAAGGTGGATGACGGAAAATTGGTCAGCTCATCAGGGGTTTTTTTATATGCAAAGAAAAGAGTTAGACTTTGTCTGGAAGTATTAACCAAGCTAAAGCTTGGGTTCCATTCACCCTGAAATTTTAAAGGTTTCCTGAAAAATATCACCTCTTTCACATTAAATTTAAAGAAATTAATGAGTAATAGTCCTTAGCCTAAGTGTAATCTGGTTCTCCCAGTGCTTTGGAATTTATTGGTTTAGTCTCAGATATAATTTTATCACGTGATACCCCAAGAGAAAAGGAAAAGGATTAACTGCTTTTCACCACATTTTGAACATCGGACTTGTTAAGTACTTTGTGATTTCTCCTTTGTGAATCTGAAGTGCATTGATAGCAGCCAGCACTTGGAATATTTAACACTAGGTGTAGGTGGTTTTTCTACAGGAGTCACACCCCGTACAGCAAACCCCATGCTGTAAGTTGCCATCATCTTACACCAGATTTCTCTTCTGGTTTCTTTTTACTTTATCCTGGCAGGAGTTCAAAGAAGGACGCAGAGCCAGCCACACAGCCCCACAGGTCCTCTTTAGCCACAGGGAACCTCCTTTGGAGCTGAAAGACACCGATGCTGCCGTGGGTGACAACATCGGCTATATTACGTTCGGTAAGCAGGGTGGGATTGCCACCTTTGGGCGCCTTTGATGCATTCATACTGCACACTGCCTGAACCTGGACAGTCATTTGTTAAAATGTTAAGTGGGGCAAAAGCAGACACACCAAATTGTTCCTGTTGCCATTGCCGCGACTATAGGAGGGGTGTCACTGGACACTAATTACAGGTCATGTGCTCTTTCTGTATAGTAGTCGTCTCTCTTTTTTCCTGTTCTTAAGTCCAAAAGAAAAAAGATAGCTTCTCATGCTGCGTATTAGGAGTTGGGACCACCTTAAGCATTGCTAAGCACCTGGGTAGGAACTCTCTGTCATTTGGCTTTTCTTGTTTTTTTCTTATTGAGCTGGAGCTCCAGCCATAACTCACTCCACTTTTCCACTGAAGAAATTCAGGTCTTCCCATCTTACAGTTACTGAGCCTGGTGAGCTGGATCATTCTTATTGCTGGTAGTTTGGAATAAACACATTCACACACTGTACCTGATGTCACCAAAATGTCTCCCTTTGTGAAGTTTTATTCAGTTGACCTCAGTGGCAAAGGTGTTCCAGTTTTTTGGTGATGAGTGAGTTGACTGTTTCATTAAATCTAAGCTACACATTTTTTTTCACATTACTACCTTTGAGGTTGGGAAGTAGCTTACAATTCATGGCATGTCACAGTTTAATTGACAGCATATCTTTATGATACATAAACTGCTGGTAAACTTACAGTCATTAGCATCTTAGGTTCTGTGCAGTGTAGTTATCTCCTATTGTGGTGTTCACTTTTCAGGGCAAAGTGACACAACAGTCTCACCCTTTCTGTGAGGCATTCCTTTTCATTTTAGCAAAACTTTATACTTGGAAGATTCTACTGATGGTGAGACCACTGAGTAGAGATGGCGCAGAAAAGTAGAGACGATTCAATAAGGGGAGAGGGTGCGGGTCCGCCCAGGAGCAGGCGGCCAAATGCCTGCATGGGTCTTCGGCGGTTGGTGCTGCGGGAAGGGCCTTTCTCAGCTCCCAGCCAAAGCAGCCTCTGCCTGCCTTCATCAAGAGGGTTCTGGTCTTTATTTCTTTTTCACCACCAAGACTTACAGGGTCTTCTCTAGCATCTGGTTTCTCTGAAGGCTTATTCTATTTTAGTGCCAAGGGCCTAGGGACACACAGGCTTTGTTTCCTCATCCTGATTTCTTAAAGTGTTTTTTCCATAATTACAGACAGTAGTTCCAGATAGTAGTATCACCTTGCAGAGGCAGGAGCTACTGCATGTGTGGCAGGGAGGAAATAGATTTCAGAAAGCACAGCCACAGAATTCAGATCTGAGATGAATGTCCAGGACCACACCCTTATCTTGATGAGTCCTAGTTTTCTACCATCATCTCCCTTTTTCTCAGCATCCTCCGTTTGCACTCACTGGCACCTGCCCTGGTTATGGTGTTTATCCCTGTATCGTCTCAAGGAGAAAACCCTGACAAAGCCTGGGCATGATGTAACAAGTGGATTATATTAAGCAGAGAGTTGAGAGCTGACTGGGCTACTGGGCTTCCCGCTCTGTGGTATTGGTGTTATGTACCGATGCCTTGTTTGTGCCTCCACCCTCAGTGCTGTTCCCTCGCCACACCAACGCCAGTGCTCGAGACAACACCATCAACCTGATCCACACGTTCCGGGACTACCTGCACTACCACATCAAGTGCTCTAAGGTGAGAGGAGCCGCTGCACCTCAGCCCCTGTGCTCCGGGTCATTCTCTCCACCAGAGTTGATAACAGTCATTCCTGTAGTCCAGACTGTTGCTATGAACTCGGAGCGGACGGTTCTAGAGGTTACAAGAAATGGTCTTTCTTCAGCTCCCCACCACCACCACCACTCCCCGCAGCAGGGAGGTGAATAAATATGTCTCCGCAAAGGGTTGCCTCTCCTGCTTCCCTGCAAGGCTCTGTGTCAATCCCAGGGTCTATGCTCCCAAACCTTCCTGGTAACTTCTTATGAAAGCAAAGCTGTCTTTCCAGAACATGGCTCTGCTTCAATACTTGTTTTATTTGCCCCCAGGCCTATATTCACACACGTATGCGGGCAAAAACATCCTTTTGCACGCCCAGATGCCGAGAAGAAAGAAATGAAAACAATCACGTAAGTAGGGCAGGCCCGCAGCAGGACCACCTTCTCCCAGGCTTACTGAGCAGAAAATAGTGGGTGCTGGTGGCTTGGCCCTCCAGGGACCTGGGCAGCAGCTGTGTGTGAGACAGCAGGGTCGGGCCTGTAGCTAGCTGCCCGACAGACTGACGATGGGGTGAACAGGTTTTCACTTCCAAATGCGTGGGTCTGGGTTTCCTTGTTTCCACATCTTTGTGAGCTAAGAGAATGGCAGATGGGAAAAAAAACAAAGGGACCTTTTTACCAGGATAAGTTGTGTTCTCTTTGGGCCTAAGTTGAAAAGTCAGCTTGTCCTTCTGAAGGTCTTCCTGGAGAAATGGAGTAATTTGCTTAACGACATTTAGTTAAGTAAATAGGCCTGGAAACTCCCCTCGCTGAAGTGTTCTTTGTCCTGTTCTGCTTCTCAGCGGAGAGGAAGTTGTCTCTGTCAGGGATGGAAATGTTGAGTGTGTGGCTCCGTGTGCCTAGAGCCTAGACATTTGGGTCTTTGTGCAAGGTGCCAGATCTTGTTTCCCCTTCTGGTATAGTTTAGACAATTCTGTTCTCAGGTGATATGTGCTTATTTGTGCTAAAGTCTTGAGGTGAATTAGGCACCCTGACCCCACACCCCTCAGAGCCAGTGTATTTGCCAACACTCAGTACTCCTGCAGGTAACCCTTGGAAGGCGTGGTGTGCTTAGGCTTCACGTGAAGCTCCCCTGGCATGAGAGGCCTCTTCTGCCAAGTTAGTTTCTGCTATCTGAACAGAGTTTTCCATATCCAAAACATCAAAGATGCATACAGAGCAGTTAAAGTCACTCCTGACTTCTTTAGGCAAAGACTTTAGGGACTGCCCATCTCTCATTAGGAAACTGGTACCAAAGGCCCTTCTCTGTAGTAGCTCTGAACCTACTTCCCAGAGCCTAAGGAGTGCTGTTCCACCTTTAGCTAGACTAGATCCTCTGCCTAGAGAGAGGTGTCCAGATGCCGTGGCGGCAACATTCCCTCTGCTCTGCAGCTTCGTGCCTATCCTAAGATGAGGGGGAAAACAGTAATGGTGGGGAAGCAGGAGAGAGTATATGTCCTGAGACACACATGTTCTTGCTGTCTCCCGTCCTGGAGTTTACAAGTTCCCCTGTCCCTGCTTGCTTTCCACAGAATTGCCTTTCTCACCAGGCAACCTTGTTGACCTTCAATGCGAGGCAATTTTGTGCCACTTACAGGGCCAAGTGGGGAGAAAGCAGTTCAGCAGAGGCTGGGAGGTGAACCAGCAGCTAGGGACAGCAGAAGGAAGCTTGTCCTGGGCAGCTTGTCACGTCAAACACTGGGCATCATAAATAGTCACAGGGCTGCCTGCATTACCTTTAGTCCTGTAACTGCTTTCTATTCAAGAGACAAGCCTACCAGGCAGTCACTGCCCAGTGTCCCACCATAGGCTTTCTCCCCCACCCTGTTACACAGCCAGCAGGGGGTCGTGAGGGTCACTGCAGAGCAAGTGTACTTGTCCAAGGGGCAGGAGCAACATCCTGTCCTACTGGGACTGGGAAAGGGTGAGTCTTTGAAATGAATAAACTGTCCATAAACCTTCCTGGGACTTTGAAAGAGCAACTTTGCCTTTTTCTGTCTCATGACCTCTCTTTGGCAGAGGTGGGCCCCAGAAAGGAGAAGGGGGGTGCAAACAACTGCATCCATCCTGAAAACCAGACCATGTCACTATTGGCAGATAGGAGTTAACTGGCTCAGCTGGGACCGAGAAGCCAGGTTACATTCCTCCCTCCCTCAGCGCCCCTCACCCCCCCAGCACAACAGAACAGGAAGGGCCTGCAGAACCATGGGCAGCACAAAATAGCGTGGCGGGCCCACCATGAGAAATGACCCTGAGAAGCCAATGATCAGTCAGCACCCCACAATGTTCTGCCAGAATTGAATGCTCATGAACTTTTTATTGGTTTCATTTGGGTGTGGGCAAGACATTCAGGGCAGGAAAAAATTTAGCCCCCATATTTTTGCCCCAGTTTGCTATATTTCTCAGGTCTGCCTTCCGGGCTGCTTTACCAAGTAAGTACCCTCTGTCTTTGAGTACCAGCCCATTCTCAGAGCTGGCCCTTCTGGGGAAATACTGGGTACCAGACACCATGGCTCAGGATCCTAAAGTCAGGCAGGTGTTCTAAACCCAGGGTGTAGTTGAGGGTTGTTGCTTCTTTGAACATTCTGCCCCCGTGGTGGAAGCTGTAAGGAACCTGCTTTCTGCCAGCCTGAAAAGCTAGAAGCCGTGTAGAAGGAGCCTGAACTCTCCACTAGGAAGAGGGTTGAGCCCAGTCTGACATGCAGGCAGATCTAGGGCATCCAGAAACTGGCCAAATGATTCCCCTGTCTACTTGGTACATTTAATATTCTCATGGGCCTAGCACAGGTATTTCCTGATACTCCAAAGTACTCAGTAGGAAGGAGGAGCTGACAAAACCTTCCTGTGAAAGCTGGATCTTAGGCTGTGCCTAAAGTTCCTATATACTTTGGCTTAAGGAACCTTTCCATCTGGTATTTGGCGTCTCTAGTCCAGAAGTGTGGGGTGGAAGGAAAGGTGAGCCCAAAACTAGCCTTCATACTTACTCTCTGCTTTTGAAGGGGGAAGACGTTTTCATCCCGCTAACTCTTGGGAACAAGAAGAGGAAGCGGCTGGCAACTGAAGGCTGGAACACTTGCTACTGGATAATCGTAGCTTTTAATGTTGCACCTCATCAGGTTCTTAAGGGATTCTCCATTTTGGTTCCATTTTGTACACGTTTGGAAAATAATCTGCAGAAACGAGCTGTGCTTGCAAGGACTTCATAGTTCCCAAGAATTAAAAAATTCCACTTGATCAACTTAATTCCTTTTCTTTATCTTCCCTCCCTCACTCCCCTTCCCTTCTACCCTCCTTCCAAGCTGTTTTCGCTTTGCAATATGTTACTGGTAATGAGTTGCAGGATAATGCAATCTTAATTTGTTTTCTCCTAAGTATTTGAGTTCAAAACTCCTGTATCTAAAGAAATACGGTTGGGGTCATTAATAAAGAAAATCTTTCTATCTTACATGAGAATTTTCTGGGTTTCTGGACTGTGAGTCCAAAAGAGAGGAGAGGGAGAAAGGTGAACCTGCAGAGCCGAGCTGGAAAGCAGTGGGTCCCAGAGCCCCTCAGCCTTCCCTTAGAGGAGTGAGCTCTTGGTGGCATTTCTGAGTAAACTGAAACATGATTAATGTAAAGCTCGGTTACTCAGTCTGTCTGTGGCCAAGACAGTGACAGGCACATGAAAGTGTTTCCGGCTTATTCTTTTATAATGAATAATGTATTTCTCTAAATGTGTTCCAGGGTGTGTGTGGTTCCGCAGGACACTGGTTGGTGTTTAGGTGTGGATCTGATGCAAACTGGCTACAGTTTTCTCTTTTCTCACACAGCGGCCCAAAAGACTAGCACTCCACAAAATTCACTTTGGGATTCTGAGCCTAGCAAAATATGCTGTCCCCTAGGAGGACACTGATCCCTAAAATAAAATTAGTTCGGAAATTTTGCCTGGTAAAGAATTATCAGGAGAACGTTAGGGGCACCCGAAATGGTCTGAGGGGCATCCTAATGGTTTCGAACTTCTTTTGTCTCCGTCTAGTGCTCAGACTAGTTTGAAGACTTTTAATTGTGCAATCTTCTGGCTGCATCACAACCAGCCTTTTATTTCCTAAACTATTTTGAGATAATTATAGAGGTCGCATGCAGTTATGAGAAATAATACAGCAAAGATCCTGTATACCAGTGGTCCCCAACCTTTTTGGCACCAGGGACCAGTGCTCCTATGAGAATCTAATGCCTGAGGAGCTGAGGTGGAGCTGAGGCGGTGATGCTAGTGCTGGGGAGCGGCTGCAAATACAGATGAAGCTTCGCTTGCTTGCCTGCCTGCTGCTCACCTCCTGCTGTGTGGCCCGGTTCCTAACGGGCCACGGACCAGTACCGGTCCACAGCCTGGGGGTTGGGGACCCCTGCTGTATACCATTCACCCAATATCCCCTAATGGTAACATCTTACATAACTAGTATAGAATCATAGCCAGGAAACTGACGTTGATACATGTGTAGCTTTTTCACCAGCATTTACAAAACAACAGACGAGATCAATCAGTATATCACACATGTTAAGGGAAAGTATTAATTTTGAAATACATTTAAGTTATATATATACATCTTGACCAGATCATAAAATGTCCTTTTCTATGGGTTACGGTCAAGCAGTTCAAAAGCCACAGGTGGTTCAGTCATCCAGACTTCGTTTTACTTCATATAAACGGGCCCTTAAAGAACTCTGGATGCAGTTATGTGCTCATTTCAACAAACATGCCCTGGAGAGTGCTGTCCCCTTGGGGCTGGCCCTGTGGCCTCCAGTGGAAAGTGTACCACACTGAGTCCACCCAGTGTTTTCCTAGGATGTGGCCCCTTGTCACCTACTTCTGATGGGTGGAACACCTACCTAAATTAGATACATTGAGAGATGGTGACATTTATGTATTCTGTACCCCAAGAGGTTTTCAAGGGTAATTTTAAAGTAGTTTTTGCTTTCCTTCTGACTTTAGAACATAACTCCTTAGTGAGTTGGGACTCACTGTACTCTTTTTGCCAATAGTGGGGATCAGATTTCTGACAAGTACTTTAGATGGCAGAACCAAGGTTGCTTAAAAAATAAGGAAAAAAGTCATTAAATATTTTTTACACCAGTAAATCCTAAGTTTCTCAATTCTAAGACTTGGCATGAAAAATCCATGTTGGTAGAAACCCCTCGTTTGTTTTCACCTGTTTCCAGGACACACCTGGTGTTAACACGGCTCCCTCCCTCTGTGGACAAAAGCCCACTGTAACTTCAGCCCAGGCCCGTACTGTGGGAGGAGGGAGGCCTCAAGATGAGAGCACACTGAGGGGATGTGAGCTGGGGGAAAAAATGAGCTAGTTTCAATTACTGCTAATTGGCTCACCTGCCCGAGGTTCCACACCTGGGAAGTGTGGGTATCCTTGGATATAAGTTTTAGAGATTGAAAGCAATATTTTGAGACGGGTGGATTTGAATCTAGGTTCCACCACTTAATAGCTGTGAGCAGATTTCTTAAGCTGAGCCCTGATATCCTCATCTTTAGTTGGATATAACACCACCTATCTCAGGGCTTTTAAAAGGAAAAGAGAACAGATAAGTGACTATCACAGCATAGGCATTTATAATGCCTATAAGAATACTTAATACCATATAATAAATCTATACATCCAAGGGGATCAGAAGTGATGTCCGATGTAAGTCATTCTGTCTTGGGGTTTTCCAGGTCCTCCCCAAGAGAGTTGGTGTGTTTTCCTGCTTGGGTGGCCCTTAAACTGTAGTGGTGAGTAGGGGAGGAAGGAGGGTGTTGGTGGGAATCTCAATGCCTGGATAAAGCGGGACCTGAGCATGCTAAGAACAAGGAGCTTGGCAGGAAAGGAAATTAAGACTAACAGGAAGTGGAAGGGTGGGATCAGAGGACAGGAAGTTAAACCAGGAAAAAGTGCTAGCTGCTGCATCACCTCCCTTGTGGGGAGGTGATACTTAGCAGTTGCCATTTCAGTTCCCTTTGGTCTCATTCAAAGTTGGCTTGATGGACCCTTGTCCCAAAAGCTACAGGGGTCTAAGACCCAATTCTGGATCTCCTGGGGGGAGGGAGGGAGGGAGGGATGGGTATTTCTAGTTTAGGCAATGCTGCCCCCTTCTGGGAATTGCTAACAGCACTGCAATTTCTGTGGCTCCTAGAGTGACCTAGAGAATGGCAGTTTAACCCTAATGGGTTCCACCTAACAGGAAGGACCAGGATTTCTTCTGCCCCATAGCTGACTTAGAGCTTCCTGAAGCCAGGACTCAGGCCAGTTTCAGTCACTGGATTGTGCTCAAAACCCATCAGAGGCTTCCAAGGGCTTATCTGCTCTTGTCTATGTGAAGAATTGAACAGCGGCTCAAGGAGGCCAAGGAAGCCCCAATGCCCTATTGCCTCCGCTCACCCAGTTAGTACTTCCAGCCCATGCATTCCACACTGAGGGTTAGCAGAGAGAAATTCATATATCCAAGAGAACTGAATGGTTGAAGGAGACCCAGAAGGGTTCCCCAACAGTCTGGGTTGGGCACCATGATACAGATGACCTGAGGAAAGGAGAATGGGGCCTGGGTTGGGGCACCAGGGCCTGCAGAGTCAGCTAAATAAAGCATCCACAAAATACCTGCATTAGGGCCCTCCTTGGGCAAAGAGGGGAAAGTGGGGATGAGTCAGTCCCAGGGCTTGAAGGAGCAGAGAGGAACTGGATAATCCGGTAAGGAAGAAAGGGCTGAGCAAGCAGGGCACAGAACCCAGATTTCCCAGCTCCTGCTGCCAAAGCTGTCCCCCTTCACACGTCATCCCACACACAGTGTTTAGACAGAGCAGTGAAGAAGAAACACAGACATCCTGGATCCCGCATGAGGGAGGCCAGGGCTGGGAACAGGAGGTCTGTTTATTCCTGGCAGTCCAGTATCTGAAGGGCCACACACCCACTTCTGTCCAGACTGTGGGATGAACTCTCTCAGAGCCTCTGACTTCTCCCTGACAGCATGGAGCCGAGGACTGTCTGCTGGAACCGTGTCCTCCACCCAGCAGCTCCCTTGAGGATGCTTTTGAGTCGATGCTTCCCTCTTCCCACTTTTTGTCTCAATGGACGTCTGGCTTCTCCAGGCTCCCTGACTGCTACTCCTCCAGCCCTTCAGCCCAGGTCTTCCCAGAGAGCCCAGCAGTCCCCTTGCTTGATGCATTCGTGCTCCCGAGCAAGGAAGTTTTTCCTAACATCTCATCTCTGGCTTTCTTGCTACAGTTTTAGCCTGTTTCCTCCCAATTCAGGTCTTAAAGGAATGTAACTGGCCTCTCTCCCTCACCCCAAAGCCATACCTGATACAAGGTAGAAATGAGGGCACCACATTTCTTGGCCACCTAGCCTTGAATTTGCCCTTCTCACTGTACAGTCATGCACTGCATAACGATGTTTTGGTCAGTGAAAGACCGCATGTAGACTGGTGGTCCCATAAGATTATAATGGAGCTGAAAAATTCCTATTCCTCGTGATTTTGTAATGCAATACATTATACAAATACCACTGTGTCTCAATTGCCTACAGTATTCAGGACAGTAACATGCTGTACAGGGTGGTAGCCTAGGAGCTATAGGAGAACAGAATTTGTGACCCTAAAACGTGTCTCTGGCATAATGATTATTTTAGGCTAGTTAATTTTAAGAAACATGCAGATTTCAAAGAAGTCTGAAAACCAAGTAGAAGTTAGCCTTTGTAAAAGACATTCACATTTGTAAGGATGTCTCCCTGTACCTGGAAGAGAGGGATGACCTTGTTTCTAGAAACATCAGTGCAGAAGACAGTGACTTCAGTCTGCACAACAACCTTCCCCTTGTTTGCTGTGAGTTTCCCGCCACCCCCAACATCTTTTGTCTGAGGCTGAAACTGGTATTTCAGGCGATGGCTTTAGCCATTTTGGGGGAGTTACTCAGTTTTCTTGGGTCTCTCCCATGTATACAGGAGGTAAACATGTTATCAAATTTTTGTTCGTTTTTCTCCTATTAATCTGTCTTTTATTACAGGGCTGTCTCAGCCAAGAACTTAGAAGGGTAGAGGGAAAATTATTTTTCATCCCCTACAGAACTATAGGCTGTATCACATAGCCTAGGTGAGTAGTAGGCTATACCATCTAGGTTAGTATAAATACCTTCTATGATGTTTGCTCAGTGATGAAATTGCCTAACAGTGCATTTCTTAGAATGTATCCCCATTAAGCTGTGCACGAGTATACCAGTTTCCTCATTTTCTCTGGAGTAAATGTCATTCCTCTCTTGTTCTTCATAGGCTCTCTATCTGCCTTTCTCTAGGGAGTTTGTTCTTCAGAGGGGACAGGTGGCTGAAGCAAGGAACATGCAGAGAAGAGCAGAAATCCTAAAAATGTTCATAACAGCTACCTCCCATTGAGTGCTTCTATGCCGAGCGCTTAGTCTTTATCACACATTGTCTCGATAAGTTTCACAATAGGTGGTACAATGTGAGCCCCATTTTATTGATGAAGAAACTAAGGCAAAAGAATGTTAGTTACTTGCCCAAATTCACACAGCTGGAAAAAAAAAATAGGGCCCCAGCCAGCATTCTGAAATCCAAAGCCAGGCTTTCTGATTTCAACACTGGCTGGGACCTCTTCATCATCGTGGAAGAGCAAGGAGAGAAGTCATGTGTTGAGACTCATTAAGTGTCAGGCACTGGGATATATGCAGTTACATATTTTATCCCTGAGAATGGGTTTCTTTGTCCCCATTTTATAGGTGGGAAAATTGAGCCCCAGGGGTAGTTTGCCCAAGGTCATACCCCCAGAGCCACTTGTACCTTGTAGCCCAGAGTTTGACTCACAAAGTAGTTGAGAAGTGTGTGAAATGACTCCCACTTCTGGGAGGCAAACCCGGCCCTATAAGCTGAAAGGTCCATCGGGCAACAGGATAGGGGGCAGAAGATCCTCAGGTCCCAAACACCCCACCACTGCCACCATTACACATACACTGCTCTTTCACAGACAGGCATAATTAGGGAGCTGGATGTGCTGTCAGCCAGCCAGCTGGCCATTCAGGGGTATAAGGCTCATAAAATGTAAATGCGTTAGCTGGGGCAGAAAGTGGAGGGGAATAGTCCAAATCATTAACTGGGATGCGTTTCTCAGTTTAGGCAAGCAAATAGCAGGCAAGAGGTCTCCAAGCTGGGCGACCTGAGGTAGATCTGCCACCTAAGTGGCAAGCTATGGCCAGTGGCTGGAAAAGGGGAACACTGGTACAGCTGGAGAGAAAGGCCTCCCAGTGGCTACAGCTCAGGGCGTGCCAGGTCCCACCCCCAGGGGCGGGGCTAGGCTAAGCCCCAGGGCCTCAGCTCCATCCTTCCAGGAACCCAATCCCCAGCATAGCCTGATCGACCAAGAGCCCAGGTCCCTGCTGGCTCAGAGTGGAGGTACCATGTTCCGCCCACCCAGGACATCGGACATGTCCAGAAGCCCTGCAGGGCTGGCTACGGCAGCTCCCTGACCTTCAGAGGAAAGCCCAGGCTAGGCAAGCAACGCCTGTGTCCAACAGCCATGTGAGTAGTTACACCCTCCTTCCAGCTGTAGCCACATCTGGAGACCTTAGCCCCAAATCCCAAAGAGGCCACTGCACCCAGCTCAAGCCACCAGAGGCACCGGGGTACGCGGTGTGGGGTCACACTGCCCACACACCGCTGGGAAGTTGCCCCTGAGGGCTGAACTTTGCCTTACTTGCTGCCCTGGTGGAGGTGGGGTGGAGGACTCAACTCGAGGGGAGGGCTGGAGCTCCAGCCCGGGATCCAAGGGCCAGGTTTGAGGTAAAGGACCCTGAGCGCTTTGGAGTTTAATAACGTGGAGCATGCAGGACTGAAGGGGAACAGAAACTGGAGGGCTGCTGAGGAGGAAAGCTGTCCTGAGTGGAGAGTACACTGGGGAAGATGGAGGAAGAGGAAATCGGGGAGGGGAAAGGGATACAGCAGACGGGAGGCCCCAGGGAATTGAATAGAAGGGGCAGCTCCTGAGCTCGGGGTGGCATAGGCCCTCTGATCCTCCCATCCAGGTTAGGGGGCAGGTAGGAATCCTTTCCTTATTGACTTTAATCCTAGCAACAGCAACTGCTCACCTGTTGACAAAAGCAGAAATTACCACAGGGGCCAAGACCACTCCCCATTCCCTGATGTGACAGTGGGGCCAGGGTGCTGGAGAACTGAGAACAAGGAGCCAAGTGAAGAGCCACAGAGAGGCCAGGCCTTGTCCTGCAGCATCTCTTCCCTCTTTCCTGGAGTTGGCTTCAACCCAGGGAGTGGGGGTTTGGGGGGCTTCCTTGCCCCTGGCATCTCCACATTCACTGCCAATCCTCCCCTCCACCCCCCA